GTCCCTTTAAAATCTTGAAATGGTTTTCCTCTCTGATATATTATGCACTCCCATCCTTGGTAGACAAAAATGTCTGTTTTGTATATTCTTACTATTACTTTTGTTTTGTTTTTGCATGTTTATATTCATAATTTTAAATGCAATACATAAATAAACTTTATATGATAGTGATAATATTGTAAAACTTTCCCAAATCAAAACTAATAAATTGGTACCTCACAATCATATGTGCTATAAAATGAGACTGAATGGGAAAAAAATGTCTAATGAAGCCTAAATTGGTGTTTTGTTAATATTTTTTCAAAGACATGTGGGTGAAGCAACTGAAATATGAAGGAGTTTTGTTTGCAAGAAGGAAAATAGTTTGACCTTAAGAGTATTATTAATTTTATCTTTGTAAAAAGCCGTTTTTGCGAAGTGGCGGGGGATAAAATGACTGATAACCTTTAAAACCAGCTGGAATTATTGTGTTTTCTTTGAACATCTCTCAGGTCAGCACACAGCCTTCAGTGTCTCAGCTGCATGCAGGTTTCTTAGATAGACGACTTAGGAGATCCAGACATTAGCTTAGTACATAACAGAGAGTTATCATTAACCTCTAATGAGGAGAGTGAGCAAAGTGAAGGTAGAGCAGAGGCAGGAGAAGTGGGTGGAAAACAGCTTTCAGAGGTTGTTCTGGAATGAACTCATGGTTGGTAGGATGGAAAGCATCACTGGGAGGGAAAAAGTGCATGAATTAGTTGGAAGAAAACAACAGTTATTTGTTTGTCAAGTTCAAACTCAAATCAGTAGATGAGGGACAAGAAACAGACAGAATAATGACAATATTAAAAAAAAAAAAAAAAAAGTCAAATATAAAACAACTAAATTTTTCTGGTGTCAAGAGAATCTGGTGGAAAGTAGCAGCGGAGGAAGTTACCAGTTATCAATTGTTATTAAATAAAAACACAGATATTTGTCCAGATATAAAAGAGAGACGAAAGACTATATAGCTGATGGAGACAAGTACAGATTTACATGAAAAACAGCAGCGAGCACAATTAGATCACCACAAACAGACCTGAGAATAAGGAAATGTTTATAGATATTTGTTTAATAAATACTGAACACGTGTATTTTATTGTGTGTTTTCGTTCATTTCACCAAATCATTTCAATTGTGTCTTTACACATGAAGCTTTAGAAGTGAAGAGGATGTACTTTGTTTATACACACCCATTAAATAAATTAGAATAATACTCAAAAGTCAATTTATTTCAGATTTTTTTTCACTAAGTGAAACACAATGTGATGATTTTCTGCTTACAGTTAATAAAAATGTAAATATTACATCATACCAATAAAAAAATAATATACAGCCTGAATGAAAAGTATGTTTACTACCTGCATGAAAGTTGTACATTTTCAAAAGGTAATAATAATAACAGCTTTATAGTAATGGGCCTCATCTGACAGTATATTCTAATTTACTGAATATGCTACAGCTATGGTGACCTGAACATCATTGCTATGATTAAAGCTCATGTGCTACATTATTTTAAACATATATGTTTGAATCCAGCTTTCTGCATCATGCTGGAATATAATTGCATCCATAACAAGTTTGAACTCCTGTCTCCCTTTTTTTCTTTGTTCTCTTCATTTTCTCTGTTTTCCCCCCCGCTGTGCTCTCACCAGTGGCTCAGTGTTCCCCCGCGCTGGGATGTGGAGCCCACTACGAGTTCGTGATCGAGGAGTTCTGCCTGACCAGATTCAGGCTAGACATGCAGGAACTGGACCAGAGTCAGTGGTGTAGCTGGGAGGACACAGCCAAGTGAGTAATCAAGCATAAACATGCACAGAGGAGAGAAATGAAAACAGACTTACTCTTGCAGAACAACAACATAATGAGCTTCAAGTCTGAGATGCACATCCAGCACATCTCGTTGATGTTGGGTTTCATTGCAGTAAGGAGAATAAACACGTTTTTATTGCAGAAATAAACAGAGATGCATTGTTGTATCGCATTACGAAAAAAAAAAAAGAAAAAGCTGTGAACTTGTTTATATTTGATTGCCGCTCTTTATGATTGTCCAAGTTTTTGGTTGCGTTCCAACAGTTGATTAAAAACTGAGTGAAACAACAGAGAGCGAGTAAGTGGAGGGTGAGAAACAGAGAGGATACACACACAGTCAGACAGAACAAAAGCTGCATGCCTTTGGCATAAACAAAGATCTTTTGTGCATGCACAAATATTATCCTTGCACTCACTGTAAAAGATGCTTTAGGCTACGTCTTTCCAAATTGTGCCAACAGATTTTATCATTTAAAATCAGCTAGTTTAATCAGTTGAATAAACACTAAAACATTTCTTACTCCAACAGTAAAACTGTCACAACATGATGCATTCATCAAACGTTCTCAAATCAAATGTGTGTTTTTACTGTTGCTGCCGCTCATGTGATCCTGGAGGGAGAATCCAATTTGGCGTCTCCAAAAAGAAGTTGACTGAGATTTTTGTTTGAAAGAACGGTTTGGGAAAACAAAACAATAATTATTCTAAAGAAGGAAAACCTCCTCTAAATAGAGTTTTAATCACCAATTCTTTACAGTACAGATGGAGATTTTTTTTTCCACTTTTTTGAGAGAAAAGTGAAAGAGAACAAAGCACTACAGTGAATGAAGGATTCAAAATGTGAAATACAGTCTGTCTAAGTTAAAAGGTCAACCATCAGGAATGTTAGCCCCTCTCACCCTTTCTTTCTGGGTGAACCGCCTTCGGAGATCTCTAATTCACATCGAGTGACATTTGGAGTCTGTGTGAGCGGCTCCTGTGAGCGTCTGGCCAGCTTGCCTCGTCTTCCGGCTCCTCAGCGCGTCTCTGCTGTCAAGAGGCGACCTGCTTCCTCAGCCCTCTTGTCAGTCTTCAGCTGTCACTTCAGTCAGTTTATATTCAGCTCCCTCTTCATAAAACACTCAATTCTGTCTCTTAAAGCCGCTGCTGTAGACATTAGTCAGTGGTATTCCAGTCCAACTTACTTTTATGAATCCTTGCGAGGTTTCATGTACATGTAACTCTGAGAAAAACGTGGAATCGCTGTTATAAGACGTTCATTGGTCTGAGTCAGTTAGTAGAAAGAAATAAAACATGACAAGCCTGTTACTTCAAAGCTGAACATTATGGTTTGTAAAATGTTCAAGAGTCATTTTTCTGGAGTTGCAGTGATGAGAGATTCATTTTGCAGCTTTTTAAAATTTTCTTCTATTGATTTGTTAAATTACAAAATCAGACTGATATAGTTTTCTTTGAGACAAAATTCATTAACATTCTGAAAACTGTCTTTAACAGAAATAATTAGTTTTTAATAGGAAACTTGTATGGGACCCTAAGGGTGTTTTCAGACCTCATAGTCCACTAGACTCGGTTCGATTTTCAGCTGATGCGATTTGCTTTCATACTGCACCTTGTCAAACAAATCAAGCCCTTTGTTAGTTAATCAATCACAGGGCAAAGTATGAACACACTAATTCAGAGAGACCAGTTAGTCTCATGTTTTTAGACTGTTGGAGGAAGCAGGAGTTCCTGGAAACCTTGCAGGCTACAGGCAGGATGAACTCTGGTCAGAAATCAAACCCAGCATCTTCTGGCTGCTACACAGCAGTGATAACCACTGAGCAGCCATAGACACGTTTTTCTGCAGTAAATAATGAATTAAATTAAAGTTTCCTTTTTCATTTGCGATGATTGTTTACTGGGACCGTCACGTTGCTGCTTTCTGTCACATTTGTTCCACTTCCATTATTCCCCTTCGCTGCTTACTTTAATATTCTTTCCATTGTTTCTTCAAATTTTCCAGCTCCTCTGATATATTAGTGACACATATGAGAGATTTGTTTTCCCCAAGTCTGCCAAGCAGCCATGGTGCTGTTATCACACCGTGTGTAAAGGCCTTGTGTGTTTTCCTGTCAATATTTTGACGTGTCACCTCAAAGCCCAGCACGAAATGAGAAAATGGCAGAGAAAAGCTCTGCAGAGGTCACAGCAGCATTACTCACAGCTCAATACTGCAGGGCCTCACTGCCATTCAGGGTGTAAATTGGACGTTTTGAGACTGGAGGAGTAGACAGGAACAATGAGACTGGTACAATCGATAAATTAAAGGTTCTGTCCGACTCTGTGACGTTGATAATCACCATGCTGTTATAAAACTCATTAGCAGGAAATTCCTCAGTTGTGTCCTTGGATTTGTGATTTGTTGAGTTAAAGGACGTTAACCAGCATTATTTCAAAGCTGCTATACACTGAGGTTTGCCCAGTATAAAGTATTTTATTTCATATTTGACACAGCTAACATTTTCGTCAGTCATTATGCTGAAGATATCATCAAGGTGCTCATTTGAACCTTCAGCCAAATATAAATAAAGAGCATTTAACCTACTTTTCAATATCCTCGAGGCCTTCTAAGTCTTAAAAATATCCACTTAAGTCACAATTGTGTGACTGCTTTATTGATTTAATAATACATATGCAATATGCATGCATCTCTCACATTGACACATATAAAATCATCCCAAACAAGCCCTCATTTGCTACCAACTCAGCTCAAAATTGTCAAAAAAGATGAGATTCCATGAGGAATTTTTAATTTGTGATATACAAAGATGCACAAAACAAAAACATAATCCATGCTTTTAAACAGTAGGGATACAAGGCCATCACATGTCTCAACCAATTCATGAAGCCCAAAGGAAATATTGTAGAAATTAGATATTTGTTAGTTTACAACTATCTTCAACTCATGCTGACGACTTCATAAGACTTTTGAAACTTCTAAATGTTATTTATTCACGCTTCTGTTTAGGAAAATCAGTTATTCACTCCCAATAAGGTGTACGTTTTCAGCTCTGTACAGTCAGCTCTCATGTTGATGTCGATAACTTTGCTGCAGACAATTATTTATAGTGAAGGTCAAACATTAGCATATCTAGATGCTAGTATCTGCTGACCGATATGTAAAGGACGCCTGTGCAGCTCTGTGATTTAATGCGGTGTTGAACCTTTGGAATATAACAGATGGCAGCCGTTGTTTAATCAAAACAAAATCTATTATTACCCAGATGTAAATTTACTTCCTTAAACACTTTTTTTCTTTTTACTTTTTCTATATCTATTTTTGGATAGAAACATATTTTTATCTGTCTTTTGATTAATTTCTTTGAGCACAAACCAAAAAGTCCAGCAGATGGAAATCATGACAACTCTGTTGCTGCAAACAGGAGACAGATGGAGAGGCATAACCTTCATGCTGTGGCGAGGAACGTTGACATGTCGCCATTCGATTCAGCTTGATCATTTTCCAACATGTTGATGGCTCCTCTCTAGACTGAATTGCTGACTGGCGTCTCGAGACCCCATAAACAAAAAGCTGCAAAATGGAAACTTAATAATGCATATGATTATAGTTTTCCTCTTTCATAAAGTGCCACCATCACGTCTCATTTCATATTTAAAGGTGCGTTCTGATTGATCAGCGGTGCCCCTGCTGAAGATCATGATCAGACACTCGTTCCAGGTTAGTCAACAAAACCAGTTTCATAACATAAATCAAACGGAGGCGTGGAGTATGCATCATTTTTGTTACACAAGTTTGTTTTTTTGACTTCATTTTATTTCCTTCTGCTTATATCACTTCCATCCTGACTTTTTTTTTTTTTTTTTTTTACATTCAGCAGCTTGAGCTCTCGCTGCTCTGCAGCCTATGAGAGGTCAAACCAGGAACTTCTTAAAGCCACACAGGATGCCACCCACCATGGTGGAGGTCACTGCCTACGCAGAGATGATGTTGAGATATTTAGTCTGCACCTGGGAAGTCTATGAAATGTAAACTACACGGGATTGAGAGGAGATTTCAAATTAAAGCAAACCCTGCACAGGCAGCACAGGCGCATTATGAGATGAAACCAAATCTGAACTTTTTGGCTTATGTTATAAATGATATGTGTAGCAGAAAACTGACTCCATCAACTTGGTGAAGCCTGGTGGTGGCAGCATCATCCTGTGGGGAATGTTTGTTCTTCAGCCAGGAAAGGAAATCTGGTTAGAGTTGCTACAAAGATGGATGACATTAAAAACGATCCTGGTAAAGAAAAATTATAACAATCAAAAGACTTGAGACTGAGGTTCACCTTTTAGCGTTACAACAACCGTTAATATACAGTCATGTTGAATAAATTAGAATATTTTTGAAAAGTTCACTCATTTCAGCTAACTATACTAACCAAATGACAGATTGATGATTTCAAGTCTTCATTACTGATGATTGTGATGATTTTTTTGCTCACAGTTAATGAAAATATGACATTTAAGATTAAAGCATTTCACCAGATCAATTAAAAATCATATTTTTAACACAGAAATGTGGACATAATGGAAAGTATATTTAATAGTCGCTTAAAGGTTGATATATTCAAATAGTACTTTTAATCTAACAGTCAAGTCTCATGTGAATGCATGTTCTTTATTGAATGTGATTGCACATCCAGCATATTAGGTTTGTGTTTTATAGATTCTTGTGTTTCATAGTTTTGTGAATATGCCACCTTTATGAAACACTCCAGATCCCTCTCCACAGATCACTGTTTTCAGGTAAATTTATTGTTTTAATTAAAATGTAATTTTTGCAAAGTCCCTCGTGACAACATTTGTTGTGAAACGGCGCTTTAATCATCAGTTTTTGTAGAAAACTGATTATTTCTGACAGCCTTGAATGCAGCTAAAATAAATCCTTCCAACCATTACCTGAAAATGAAATACGAAATGAGACGCATGGTAAA